AATGAAAGATGCTATTGCTGCAAAATGTACTCTGGTTGGTCTGTCATCCTTCAGCAGATTTCTGTGAGCCCAGGGCTTCAAGCATACACCCCCTGTGGGGACATTTTGTGAGCACCCTGTCTCACAGGAGAATATTGCAGAGAACAGCACCACATTATTGTAGCTGTGACTTCACCTAACCAAAGTATGTATACACAGAAATGGAGACGTGTGGTGTTGTGGTGGGGGGGTTGGGGGCTGTTTGACTTTACAACTGGGGGTTAGCAAGAAGACCTTTAATTGGGCTTCAACTCTAAGGCAGGCCATAGATTGTGATTTTCTTTCCTGCAAAATCACTTCTGCTGACGTATTGTGTTATCCCGGTGGGAGGGTGCGGGGCTGTTCCTGCCCAGAGAGAACACAATGATTATCGCTAGCGGCTATAGCCTGGGTCAAACATGTGAGCCAATGAAGACAACTAAACTCCCATTTTACATGCTTTTATCTAAATTAGTGACAGGGAATCAACAATTACAATAATTGCCCCAGGGCTTAAAGTATATGCAAACTCATTCAGTTTAAAATAGAAATGACAGGCAAAACATTTGTGTATAGATATAAAAATAAATAGAAATACCTTCTCCCCCCCCCCCCCCCCCCCTTCTTTTTTAGAAGTCATCACATACCCTCTGTTCTCAGCTGCATAAAAGCTAGAGGTGGAGAAACCAAAGCACACTGATCTCAGTGAAAGGCTGTGCAGGAGGAGGAGGTGTTAGAAGTCTGATCATTGGAGGAGAGCAAACGAGGTTCCTAGCACAGCTTAGAGATCCAACCACGGCGTGTTCTCCTGCCTAGTGTGGTCAGTTTTTAGCAGGAAAGGAGAGGGACTAGCAGGAACACCAGGGATTTCATGCAAAGGAAGCAATACAAAGAGAATAGGATACCTTTTCATACAAGTACATGGTACAGACGGCACATGTCAGGAATATGAAATGTTGGCCTTACGAATTCTTTAAGCAAAAACAGCAATGGACAACTCTATTTATCTATCTTTGTAGATTCCCTTTGAGGCATCATGCTGCACTAGTCATATGTAAATGACAACGTTATACTAAAACTGAGCACAGAAACTAAAGCAAGCCATAAATTATACTATTTTTTTCCCTTTCAAAACAGGTTGAAGGAAAGAAAAACACTTGGTTTCCCCATCAGCATAGTCAGTGTTGATGGGAGAATCCCATTTGCAGCGCATGCTCTGCATGTGGGGAGCCTTCCCTGCCAGCAGAACAGAGTGATCACTACTATCGGCTATAGCTGTTGGCAGTAATTGCATGCAAAAAAATCCGACAGACTGGTTGTACTGAATTTGATTCAGTATATTCAGCCTGCCAATAGATGGATTACAGGATCCCTGCTGAACCGACCAACATTTAAACCATCTTTGGTCGACTTTTAGAGTAATGGTGTATAGGCATGAATTTAAAAGTATTCCCTTGTGCTTTTTTAATTAAAAGCAAGCTAATATAGATATCAGGGAAGAAAGGATTACTGTTCCAGCTTACGTTTACAATCTTTACTAGAGATACAAAAAGCAACTTTTATTAACTGGGTTCTTTGGAGATTAAACTAATTGGTTTTTAAAGCTATCCCAAATGGATCATCAAACAGACATCAAACTATCTCCAAATGCATTTTTTAGCAGGATTGAAAGGATGAGTAAGCGAGAGTTTTTAATCTTACCCTGTAAACACTTGTCTGAAAAACATAATATTTAGCAGGCATTAGTGATTCTAAAGGATTTTAACAACAAACATGTTATACATACTTTTATTATTATTATACAGGATTTATATAGCGCCAACAGTTTGCTCAGCGCTTTACAATATAAAGGGAGACAGTTCAATGCAAGAGGGTTAGGAGGGCCCTGCTCCATGGAGCTTACAATCTAAGAGGGAGGGGCTGATGGTACAAAAGGTAATAACTGTGAGGGATGAACTGATAGGAGGAATAGAATATTCCGTTATTAGCTGAAGGCAGTATAGGCTTCCCTAAAGACATAGGTTTTCAGAGATCGCCTAAAAGTTGGCAGAGTAGGCGATAGTCGGATAGATTGGGGTAGAGAGTTCCATAGAATAGGATGGAGAAGTACTGGAGATGAGCATGGGAAGAGGAGACAAGGGAGCTAGAGAGCAGGAGGTCGTGCGAGGGGCGGAGAGGACAGTTTGGGTGATATTTGGAGACAATATTAATGATGTAACTTGGGGCAGAGTTATACATGGCTTTATATGTTATTGCTAATGTTTTGAATTTTATTAATTGGGCAATGGGAAGCCAGTGGAGACATTGGCAGAGACAGAAGGCAGATATGGAATGGTTAGTAAGGTGGATGAGTCTGGCAGCAGCATTTATGATAGACTGAAGAGGGGATAGCCTGCGATTAGGTAGGCCAATGGGAAGGGAGTTACAATAGTCAAGGTGAGCGATAACAAGGGAGTGAATAAGTTGCTTAGTGGTTTCAGAGGTTAAGAACAGGTGTATCTTGGAGATGTTGCGGAGGTGAAGTCTACAAGATTTGGACAGCAATTGGATTTGTTGCTGAAAGGACAGATGGGAGTCCAGGATTACACCTAGTACCCTGGCATGAGAGGAGGGACTGGTGGTTGTATTATTGATCTTGATGGAGAAGTCAGGGGAGGGGGCAAGGGCTGGAGGGAATAGTATGAGCTCCGTTTTGGAAAGATTTAGTTTGAGGAAGTGGAGTGACATCCATGCTGATGCATTACTAACCTACTAAGTGATATGAGAGGAGACTGAAGGGGTGAGGTGAGGAGTAGAAAGATTTGTGTGTCATCAGCATTGAGATGGTACTTAAAGCCATGGGAGTTTATCAAGTGACCAAGGGAGGAGGTGTAGATGGAGAAGGGGTGCAAGGACAGAACCTTGAGGGGCCCCGACAGAAAGAGGAAGTGGAGAGGAGGAGACCCAGTTATAGGGAACGCTGAAGGAGCGCTGCAATAGGTAGAAGAACCAGGAGAGAGCAGAGTCTCGGAGGCTAAGAGAGTGGAGTTTTTTTAGGAGGAGGGGATGATCAACAGTATCAAAAGTCGCAGAGAGGTCAAGTAGTAAGAGTACGGAGTAGTGGCCATTAGTTTTAGCAGTTAGTAAATCATTGGTGAGTTTTAGTAGGGCAGTTTCAGTGGAGTGTAGTGAGCGAAAGCCAGACTGTAAAGGGTCAAGAAGGTTGTAGTCAGTGAGGTAGGAGCTCAGGCAATTGTAGACTAAGCGTTCTAAGAGTTCAGAGATAAATGGGAGCAGGGAGATGGGTCTTAAATTGTTCAAGTTGGTGGAGTTCAGCAAGTATGGGAGTGATGTGTGCATGCTTTAAAGGAGTGGGGAAGGTACCATTGGCGTGGGAGAGATTGAAAATGTGAGTGAGGGAGCATAGGATAGAAGAAGGTGACCGTAGTAGTTGAGAGGGGACAGGATCCAGGGGGCAGGTGGTGAGGCAGGCTTCTGAGAAAATTTTAGTGACCTCTTCAGTAGTAGCAAGGTCAAAAGAGGAAAGTGTTGAGGGACGGTTAGTATAAGGTATGCTGAGTGGGATATATGTCTTGTGTAGTGGAGATGCCTGTACAAATTGTATCAATCTTGTTTTTGGAATGATTTGCAATCTTGTAAGCAGTGAGTGAGTTACTTGGGGGAGGTGGAGAAAGTAGAGCATTAAAAGTACAGAAGAGACAACGAGGTCTGGATGACAAGGTATTAATAACATTGACAAAGTAGGCTTGTTTGGCAGCATGGAGGGAGGAATTGTATGTTAAGAAAGCAGATTTATATAGGGTGAATTCTTGGTGAGATTTGGTTTTACGCCACAATCGCTCCAGTGCACGACTATGTCGCTTAAGATTTCTGGTGTTGTCAGTCTGCCACGGTTGTAATTGTTGGGGCCTGATATTTCGTGTCGTTAGAGGAGCAAGTGAGCCTAGTGTGGATACATACTTGCTCAGAACAGCCTCAATCCTCCTCTTCCTGGGTCAATGGTGCTGCTTGCTCCTCCCCCCTTATGCATGCCCCCATAGCAAGGTTCCTGCTATGGGGGCTGGCGTGCAGGCTCGCTTTCTAGCGTGCTCTGTGTTTGACATGCAGAGTGTGGTTTGTCCCCTACAGTTTGTGACTGCAGACTAAGGAGCTTCTGGATATGAAACTAGAGTGTGTGTGCTGGAAAAGATAAACCGGAGAAAGACTAGTGTGTGTCTATGTTAGAAATGGGATCTCACTGGAGAAAGACCAGTCTTTGTGCTAGAGGTGTGATATCAGTGGGGAACGACCCGTGGTATAGTACAAGTAGAACTTGGCAGTTATATAATATAGGATAAAGTCAGTTTGGATCCATGTAGGTGTTAATGGTCTTACTGTATTTTATTTTTTTTAAATGCATCCCTAGTACCAGCACAAAACTCCTATGGTTGGCTGGAGCATGCAGCACTTTTGTGTGGATTGAGCAATCTTTGGTTAACTTTAGTCTGAGACTTTTTAATTAGACAAAGCTTTGTAGCAAGCTTTGTCTGATATGCTATCTAGCTAACACATACTGAATCCTTTCTTATTTAATGTTTATTTGAAAAAAAAATATGTTTGTGTATAGAAAAGGCAGATATAAAACAGCAGTTTAAAAATGTATAACCTTAGGGAAAAAACCCCATTACATTACATTGGAACTTACTGCTATGCCTGTGATTCTTCACCTGGACTTGAACTGTTAAGTGTACATATAATGCAGCCCAGCAACCAGAATGTCTCCTTCACAACCCTGAGTGGTGCAATACATGGTTCACCCTGGAAAATGGTGAGCTTCAATTTAGCAGTCATATAGCACAAATCTACAGAAATTAGTGCAACTTTAAAATCGATTGATTGTTACCTTGTTACCACCCTTCCAAGAATTATATTAATGTAGTTGGCCTTTGTTTTTAATACAGCACCTTACTAATAAAATGTTTTTTTTTTATGTTCACTTTTAGTCCGATGTAATTCACCAAAGTGTTTTTGAGCTGATTCACACAGAAGATCGAGGCGAATTTCAGCGTCAACTGCACTGGGCGTTGGACTGTTCTGCCTTCAGCAGATGCCCAGAGATCCCCAGGTACAGAAATCACCCAGTCCTTCAGTTGGTTTTCCCACAAACACTGTGTTTTAAATGGGTCTGGGTGTGAAATACTGTGTAGGTATAATTGGTTATACATTGTAAGACTATAAAGAAATACAGTATTTAGGGAAAGCACCTTTGTTCAAGAGGAGTAGTACATATTCATTATATTGTAAGTTGTCTGTGCACCACTTGAATGACATGAAAATTTCTATGCAAATTTTGGTAAATATATTAAAACGAAACTGAAGCTATTTCCTTTATGCAATCCGTTGTTCTGAGGCATAAAATGACTTCATTTTGACCACTAAAGCAAGAAGTTTCCATTTTTGCTTCATTCTTCAGTAACTTGACTTCCATTGAGATTTAGAATATAAAAAATAGATTTGGGCTGAGTGTGCGCTGACATGGAAGCTCAGATCTCTGCTAACTTTAAAGGATAAGTTCACCTTTCATAACATGGTACTCCCATATTCAAGGTGTAACATGTTATGATCAGACTGGCCCCCGCTCCCTGCTTTGACAGCTAGCAGGGGATCTTCTCTCCCCTCACTAGCTGTCAAATTAAAAAAAAAAAAATGTGGCCGTGCAGGGCTCCACCCACCCGTCCACGTCACTCATTCACTGTGTTCTGTGAATGAGAAACTACAAGTCCCGGCAGCCTTAGCAGCTGTCAGTTTGTAGTTCTCAATGAACTACCATGCTGTGGAATGCCGAGGTAGTTAATTGAATCTTCCTGTCAGTATATCTGCTTGCCCATACATCCCGTACGGGCAAGCAGATATACTGACGGATCTGCAAGAGCACCTGCATGGCACCAGTGATCTACTGATTGCTGGTGCAATGCTGTACAGGCTCCTGCAGCAAAAAATAATAAATGCACATTTTTTTACCTGGAAAAAAAAGTGAAATGTGCATGTATTATTTTTTTTACCAAAAGGTGAACTTATCCTTTAAGATCAACTAAAGAAATCTTCTGATCAAAAGAGACTTCTCCATTTTGGCGTAATGGAGCGGTGTCTAATAGGATAAGTTTACAGTTTGACCCAAAAAAATAAATGCACATTTTTGCAAGTAAAAAAAATGTGCATTTATTATTTTTGGTAGAAGTCACAAGACTGCTCTAACTGCTGATGAGATAAGGTATTTAGCAGTTTATATTAACTAAAATAATTGCATTTTCATGTTCTGTGTACTGTGGGAGACCAGATAGAGAGAATGCAGGGTCCTGGGGTTAGTAACACTTTAAGCTTGTATTTGCATGTTAAATTTTTATTACTTAAACCTGATTATTCAAGATGCTAATTCTCTGATGAAAATGTAAGCAATATGCTCCTTCTTTGACTGGTTCATCATATTTTAAAGTGATTGTTTAAGTGCAAAATTGAGACTGTTCAGTTTGTTGTCTGTTTTCCTGCACAATTTCACCGTTTGCTTTAAAATTTGTCTGTAGTCTCCTGAACATAAGTGTAATAAATGTGTTCAAAACTTCTGGTGGACCAGCTTGGCCTCTTCCAAACAGACAAGATAAATTGGTCCTGTTCCATCCTGCTTTTGTGTCACTGGCTTTAATGGCATGATATCCTGTAAGGATGGGGGTATTTTTGACTATTATTTCCATCCTACTTAGAACAAAAAAAAACTCCAGCTGCTACATGATTTATCATCACACATGGAAGGCTTATTTTGCCTGGTGTGAGGATAGGAAGCTCAGTCCCAGGGAATACTCTTATCACTTGTACTTTGGCCTTTCTTCAATTTGGTCTTGACCAACGTTTGGCCCTGAATACCCATAAAGTTATAGTAAAGGTAAACATTTTTTTTTTTTTTTGTTTAAGAACAAACATGTCATACGTACAGTGCCTTGAAAAAGTACTTATACCCCTTGAAATTTTCCACATTTTATCATATTACAACCAAAAACGTAAATGTATTTTATTGGGATTTTATATGATCGACCAGCACAAAGCGGCACATAATTGTGAAGTGGAAGGATGATAAATGGTTTTCAACATTTTTTTACAAATATTTGAAAAGTGTGGTGTGCATTTCTATTCAGCCCCCTTTACCCGTAACTAAGATCTAGTGGAACCAATTGCCTTCAGAAGTCACCTAATTAGTAAATAGAGTACACCTGTGTGTAATGTAATCTCCGTATAAATACAGCTGTTCTGTGAAGCCCTCAGAGGTTTGTTAGAGAACATTAGTGAACAAACAGCATCATGAAGGCCAAGGAACACACCAGATAGGTCGGGTATAAAGTTGTGGAGAAGTTTAAAGCAGGATTAGGTTATAAAAAAAATATCCCAAGCTTTGAACATCTCATGGAGCACTGTTCAAAGTTTTTGGTTGTAATATGACTAAATGTAGAATATTTTAAGGGGTATGAATACTTTTTCAAAGGCACAGTATACAAAAAGATGGCAACCACCCCAATTTCTAGTTAACCTTTGCAGTAGGGTGCACATGGAAGGGCAATTCACATCACAAACAAACAAAAATTTCCCAGAACACTTACTGGATAGCCTGCAAACAAATCAAATAAACTGTCTTACAAGTCACGTAAACAAAACATTTTGAAAATATATGTGGAAGCATGTCATACTTGCCTGCTCTGTCTAATGGTTTTGCACAGAGCAGCCCTGAGCCTCCTCTTTTGGGGTCACTCCCCAGTGCTTTGGTCTCCTCCTCCTCTTCTCTGTGTGCCATCATAGGAAGCCGCTTCCTATGGTGGCACATGTGCGTCACACACTTTACTGCCACTTCCACCTAGAGCCCTTTCTAAGGTGTTGAGATGCTTCCTTCCCCTCTTCTGATGTGAGGACTTCCCTGCAGGGCAGTCTGCAACCAGGTTGCTGCATATTCCTTCCAGGAACACTTGCCCTATATTTTGCACCATACTCTGTGATTACACTACAGGCGATCACTCTAATTCCTAGCAATGTCAAAAACTAGCCAAAGAGGAGCCATGGCAATAACTTAAGCGAATTATCGCTCTGTCAAAGTCCTGTGTAGCACTTCTGCTTCCCTTGCACCAGAGAAGGACCCAATTTTTTTTCACTAGTTTCTGCTTCCAACTCTATTGCTATTTCTGGCACGCAACAAGTGACCTGCCTGACAGATTTTTCTGTGGAAGCTCCACTTGTTTGCCTCCCCCCTCCACTGCCATACGTTACACATTTTTGTGGGGGAGGTGGAGCAGATACCTGGATTTGACAGGTACCCGCTGCCACTTCCATCTCAGTTTGCTGAGACGAAGTGGGCCGAACATTCAGACCCCCTCTTCCCTCAGTCTCCTGGGAACTGTCATAGTTCTCAGAAGACTGCCGGACCATTCAGAATGCGCAATGCGACTCGCACATGCGCAGTGGGTACCCGGCTCTGAAGCTGCAAGCTGTTACAGCCTGGTGCCCCAAGTTGAGATGCTGGCGTCGGGCAGAGAAGAGGGAGAGAAGAGATGGTGTGGATGAGCATGTCGCTACACCCTGGAACAGGTGAGTGTGTTTATTAAAAGTCAGCAGCTACAGTTTTTTTACTGCTGACTTTTAATAAACACAAAAACGGCTGGAACTCCGCTTTAACATAACAATCTCTCTCCGGGGCTCCAAAAGGCCAGGCTTCTTCCCCAACTCTGTCATCTCTACATGGGTTGTATCCCAATATGCTCAGCCTAGAAGAATTGGACATAGACAGGCATGAAGAGGACCCAGAGGCAGTGTTAAAGGAGGCTGCAAAAGATTTCTCAACCCAGGGTTCAGTTCACGAAGAGATAAATACTTCATGCATATTTGTGTTAATATAACTAATGCAATATTTATCTCCGTAGCAGGCAGTTCACGTAAAAAAATAAAGGCGTTAGATACTGCATGAATTGTTTTTGTTTTTTTTTATTTTGCAGTATTTAACGCACCTTATTTACTGCAAGCCAAACCTCCCACAGCAGGAATTGAAACATTTAGCAGTAGTATTCCTAAGTGGATGTCAAAAAGTTGGCACCCACCGGATGACAGCGGGCAGGTATCAGCTGACAGATGAATGTAAACAAAAGAGCAGGGAAAGTATTAAAAAATGGTGTGGGGGTTCCCCTATAATCCAGACTAGGGAGGGAGACTCAAAGCCAAAATATAAAAAAAAATGGTGTGAGGTTCCCCCATCCCTCAAATTCTATACCAGGCCCTTATCCAAGCAGGCAGTCTTGCAAACCTGGAAATGGAGGGGGTGTGTTTGGTCCTCTTAAAATTCATACCAGACCAAAAGGGCCTGGTATGGATTTTGGGGGAAGCTCCATGTTTTCAGTACTGTCCCTGATGCTTTGTTTACATTCACCTGCCAGCAGGGAGTCCCTGCCCAATAGCTGAAAGAGCAGGGTAGGGATAAGTCAGTTGTGGCTAGGATTTCAGCAGGTGCCAGCTCCTTGACACCCATCATCCCTGAGCTGGCACCTGATGTATCAGAGATGGAGAATCTTGGATGTGGATATCTTGGCCTCCAGATTCAGCAACAAGCTACCTCTGTTTGTGAGCAGAACAAAGGATCCTTTAGTATTGGCATTGGATGCTTTGATGATCCTCTGGTCTCAGTTCAGGCTAATCTGTGCTTTCCCTCCAGTGCGCGTTCTACCTTGTCTGCGCAATTAAATAGTGCAAGAGAAGAAGCCAGTGATTGGAGACATTGCTTTGGAAGACCTCACATGTAAGGTTGCCTGCTTGGTTGCCATTACAACTGTTAGGGGTGTTTGAGCTGACAGCTCTCTTTCTTGCGCCCTTTCTTGTCTTGCGCAAGTACAAAGTTGTTTTGAGACTGAAACATGTTTCCTACCAAAGGTGGTTCCTTCTTTCCACATAATTGACAGCATAGTTTTTCCTTTCCTGCTCCAAAACATGACAAAAAATTTGTCCTGCCTTACCTAATTGTGGTCAGAGCTGTCGGGTCTACTTGGCGGCCACAGCCTCTGTATGCAAGACTTGAGTCCTTTTTGTACTACCTGTGGGCCGTTGTAGAGGGCATCCTGCTTCCTCTTCCACCATTGCCAATGGATCAGGTATCGCCAGGGTTTGTGCCCTTAGGAGTTCCTTCTTTCCTTTCAGACCCCATTCTACCAGGGCTGCTGTTGTCTCTTGGGCTTTTCAGCATCACGTATCCACTTCCCAGATTTGCAAGGCTACCGCCTGGCCCTCTGTTCACACATTCTTTAAGCTCTACTAGGTAAATGTTCAGGCCTCCGTTGAATCAAGCTTCGGCTGGAAGGTGCTTCAAGCTGGTATCTAAGTGTTTTGTTTGTGCTCTATAACCCTTTATTTTATTGTGGACATGGTGCTAGTTCTGTTTGCCATGATGTTGTCCACCCCTCAGTTTATTGTTTGGGTATGTCCTATGGTCTATGAATACAAGTCCTCTACTGTACTACAAAATTAAAATTATAGGAATTTTACTTTGCTTGTAAATATCTTCTCTATAAGGAATTTCAAGTGTCTTGATCACTCCATACTGCTTGCTAAAGAACTGCAAGTCTTGTGGGATGGATGGTGTTATTTGAGTATATCAAAATTCCTATTTTCTTCTGGTTTTGGACTGGGACAACACTGATCAAATAGACTGCAGATGACAGTGTTACTTTAAAGTTTAAACCATATTTGTCTGGAATTTAGTGTGCAATAAACTATATAAATATTTTTACTAAGTAGGGCTTGTTTATGATAGCTAAATGACTCTTAATTGTGTGGTGGGTTTGTCTGAGCATATTTGCTCTTTAAAAAAATATAAATCACAAAGTGATTTGCTTAGGTTTGCTTGGCTGTATGTGGGTGAAAAAACACCCAAAACTGAAGGTTGAAGTTTAGTTCATGCAAACTGTGTAGATGTATTCTGTCACAAAAGATTCAGTGTAAGAAAGTGCCAATGGCTGTCTGCCCTAACTATTGAATACTCCGTTATATAAATTCTCAGACTTGTATGAATATATTGTGTGGTTCTCTTTAACACACTGGGATGCTATGATGTACTCTATAGAGTCACTTCTAGTTCCACATCCTACCCATCACCAGAAGATTGATGTTTTGTGTTTACCCTGAAATGTGCTGAGAGAAATATAAGGCTGTCATTGTTAACCTTCTTCTGAAAATGCTAGTTTGCTGGCTATCTCTAGCTTTACTACATTCTGGAGTTGATTGCCCATAACCGATGTGCAACAACAAAGTTAGAGTGAAGGCAGAACCAGTATGTATACTTTTCTTTCAGTCACCCAGGAAGGAATAAAACCAAGGGAATAGCATGGCATCCAGTTAAGTAGCCTTTTTAGCAGAGGTTAAGAATGTTTGTTTATTTCTGTAACGACATAATGTATGCCATATACCTTTTTATGTCTTCGTGCATAATTCCCTGTGCTGTGAGAACCTGAATTAGTGTTGCAACATGGGACTAGGAATGCACACGTGTGCATGGTCTTAGTGTTTAGACCCCTCTGTTAAACAAACAAAAACTAGTCCTAGCTATAGTCACAATAACTGATGCATACAAATGCTGACAAATTTGGATCTAAGGCTTCACTGGCCATGGGTTAAGCTTGTGACCAAGAAAAGTTAAAGGATAAGTTCACCTTTTATAACATGTAAATCTTGTCCTCCCGCTAGCTGTCACAATTCCTTGTGATGAGAACACTACAAGTCCCTACAGGCTTTGCGGCTGTCAGCTTGTGGTTCCCTGTACGAGGAAGCAGATACACTGACCGTTTTGCAGGAGACCTGCATGGCATCAGCTATCTGCTGATTGCTGGTGCAATACTTTACAGGCTCCCAAAACAAAACATTTACCTGCAAAAAAAGTGTGTTTATTATTTTTTTGAAAGGTGAACTTATTCTTTAAGCACAGGTTTCCTTTGTCAGAATTTTTTAAAGAATTGCAGTAAAATATGTTGTACTTGATTTGAAACTTATAATGTTTTGGTCACATGTCTATGGAATGAAAAGGGGGAGCTGGGCTTGACTACTCTTCCATTTGTCATTGCTACTGAAGTGTGGGCAGTATGCGTCCACATCATGGCTTCCATTATTTCACAGTGATCTTCCTACAGCATGGGCACAGACAAATTATTCTGGCAGTTTAGATCTACTAATTTACACATCAGCATCACCCTCCCAACATTAGAAACTGTAAAAAGTGGTAGTAGGTCATATTTAAATATGTGAACCGGTTTTCCCATAGAAACTATCAAACTTTTTACTCCTTACTGTATGTTCTGTTGGGTTCTTGTTAGAAGAAGTGATCATTTACCCTGGACAACTTTTATTTTTTAACTAAATCTATGTATATTGTATGTTTAGAAATAATTTCCCTATGATTACATCTTTGTCTACCAATCGAATAAAACTTTTTTTTTTTTTTTTCTGTGTCCAGGTGACAATGGGTTCTCAATGATAACGACCATGTATAATCCTGACCAGCTTCCACCTGAGAATTCATCCTTCATGGAAAGGAACTTTGTCTGCAGGCTAAGATGTCTTTTAGATAATTCTTCTGGATTTTTGGTATGTGATCTCTCGAATTGTGCCACTAAACAAATCATAGAATAACTTTTCCAATAAAAAAAAAAATGTAAACCGCTTATATAATGTTGGTTAGAAAACTACAGATTATTCATGATTAATAACATATTGTTTTTCCATCATTTACTTGACACCAACTTTGTGCAATGTCTTGGATGCAGCCTGATGACTTAATGCATGACTTCTACTTTTCTTGCTGGAATTGGGAGCCTCCACATCGGTTGTAGTCAATTAATGGAATCACTACTGAGAAGGATCATTGCTCACTTAAAAGCGCACAACTTGCTGGATCCAAAGCAGCATGGGTTTACTGAGGGCAGATCATGTCAAACTAATCTGATTGGATTTTTTGACTATATTACCAATGTTTTGGACCAGGGTGGTGCTGTGGACATAGCATATATTGATTTCAGCAAGGCATTTGATACAGTTCAACATAATGATCTAATACAAAAGTTGTACAAGCTAGGACTTCGCCCTTGTGTGGTTCAGTGGATATGAGGGTGGCTAAAGGATAGATACCAGAGTGTGGTTGTACATGGGGTTTACCCAGAAAAGAGACCAACCATTAGTGGTGTAGCACAAGGCTCTGTACTGGGCCCTGTTCTATTTGCTCTATATGTAAGTGATATAACTAAAGGTTTGTTGAGTAAGGTATGTCTTTATACTGATGACACAGATGTGTGCAAAACAACCACAAATGGGCAGACTCGATGGACCACGCTGTCTTTTTCTGCCGTCACTTTTCTAAAGTTTTTTTTTGTGTGTTGAGAAGCTCCATATGACCTTTCCTCATAGCGTTAAAGGATAATTTAACGTTTGGGAACATGTTCCACCCATTTTTATGGTGAAACATGTAACATGTTCGCAATGCTGCAGTCAATGCCTTCTCTCCCTGTAACAGCAGTACAAGGAGAAGGTCCCTGTACTAGCTGTCACTTTTTATAAACAGTGCTGCAGAGTGGGGCTCCGCCCATATGGTCGCATCTTTCATTCACAGAGTTCTGTGAATGAGTGAACTACAAGTCCTGACATCCTTTGCAGATTTCGGTTTGTAGTTTCCCAATGAACTACCATGGTGCTGTCAAGCGCCGTGATAGTTCAGGTCTTTTTGTCAGTGTAAAGCTGTCTGCCCGTATGAGTTACCAGTACACAGATTGCACTGACAGTCTGCAGGAGACCTGCATGGCACCAACGATCAGCTGCTTGCGAGTCCAATGCTCTATAGGTTCAAAGAAAAGAAAAAAGAAAGGTAAATGCACATTATTTTATTTATTTTTTTTTTTGTTTTAACTGCAAAAAAAAAAAAATGGACATTTATTTACAGTTAAGTTATCCTTTAACTATGTCTTTCATATTGTTGCAAAATAATAAAATCCTTTTTTTTTCATGCCCGACTGTTAATTTAGCAAACAGAAATGCATAAATCTGTGAATGCGCTTTTCATATCAATCTATGACCTCTCTGGTTTTTCTTTAATTGCCAGACTGTTCACAGAGGAAATGGGTAAAATAGAATTACTGTTCATGTGCCTCTGTGTTTCCCGTAATAGTGAGTATATTCTCATATGTTGTGCTCCAGGCTATGAACTTTCAAGGACGTCTGAAGTATCTCCATGGACAAAACAACAAAGGGAAGGACGGAGCGCTAGTACCTCCTCAGCTTGCACTCTTTGCCCTGGCTACACCGCTGCAATCACCTTCCATATTGGAGATCCGAACCAAAAACTTTATCTTCAGAACAAAGCACAGACTAGACTTCACCCCAATAGGGTGTGATGCAAAGTAAGATATGAAGATGATTTTCTTTAAATCACTACACCAATGACCAGCAGCCAGTGTGGTCCCTGTTAGGCCTTGTTCTTTGTGTGTGGCAGGACCTTTAGAACCTTACTTTTGGGTGGCACTGACTGATGATACATTTGGTGGTATGTTGTAGGAGGCAACCACATGAAGCTAACTTCACCCATCCTGGTACTACCTCTTGGTGGGTGGATGGGGGCAGATTTCCTTGGAAATGTGACCACCTCTAATTACATATGGCAATATTTACTAAATGAATTAATGGCAACTACCTGCAGGTCCCGCATTCCTCTGTGTGGGTGGTGCTCCTGCAGGTATTTGTGCGGGTCCCACAGTGGCACACCCGCACAGATGTGAACTAAGCCTAAAGGTGGTTGGGTTTGTTCTGCTTTTTTCTGTTTTTGTTGGTGTGTGTGTATATACAGTGTGTGTGTGTGTGTGTGTGTGTGTGTGTGTGTGTGTGTGTGTGTAATAAAATATATATATATATATATATATATATATATAATCAATAATTTCTAGTTTCTACAGATTTGCTTACATCTTAGAATCTGCCATCTTTGCTATTGTTTTGTTTTATTTTTGACCTTTCTTTCTGGAAGTGTATAACCCTTATGTTCAATTTTTTTTTTTTTTTTTTTTTTTTTACAGAGGAAGTGTGGTACTGGGATACACAGAATCAGAGCTGTGTGTTAGAGGAACTGGATATCAGTTTATTCATGCGGCAGATATGCTGTATTGTGCAGAAAATCATGTCCGAAGTAAGACACCTAAAATAAATTGTCTTTTAGTTCTCATGCACACTGGACGTTTTTACAGCTGCTGTTTTTGGCATTTGGCGGGGGTTTTTTTTTCTACAGCCAGTAAACTCCACAGCATGTTATTTTATGTGTTCATGCACACATAGACTGTAATCAGAGTTTTTTGGCTGGAAAAAAAAACAAAGTACTAGTGAGTTTCTAGAGGAGTTTTTTAGCTGTAAAAACACTGTAACTCTGAAAAATGCGATAAAACGCGCCAAACCAGCGTTTTTAGACTTTTTTTTTTTTTTTTCCTCGAAAAACGCAACAAAACGCAGCTAAATACTAATAAACTCATGTTTTTAATGTGACTTTACACAGCTATCATTACCAGCGTTATTAAAACGCCCAGTGTGCATGGAACCTGAGTCATTTTTTTTTTTTTTCATGCCACAAAGCTGCCATGGGCTATTGCTACTCACACTTTGGGGTTGATTTACTAAAACTGGAAAGTGCAAAATCTGGTGCAGCTCTGCAGAGAAACCAATCCGCTTCCAGTGGTTTTTGTTTTTTTTTTTTTTTGTCAGGCTTAATCAAAGAGCTCTTGCCATACGCAGGAAGTGCTGGTTGTAGTGTTATAGCTGATAGATTTTCATGAGTGATATATGGAGCTATATAATTTCTGAGTGAAAATTTTCTCGATCCTACTCCAAGTTACCCCCGTTACTATAGTAGAACAATTACTTGACCCATTAATGATTAGAAAACCGATTAAACTTTCTTAGAAGAGTACAGACGAAACGTAACGTAGAAGGTAGCCAAACACAGAGCTGAAGTATGGAGAGGGGAAGTAGAAGTTGGCAATATTTTTTAATACAGAAGGGGAGACAATCATTAAAAGAATTGAATATTGGAGTTCTGCTTTAGTATTTTAACTATGTTTGCCATATTTTCTTACTGTGCCCAGCCTTTACTTAGGAGGCCTACCAAAACCAAATTTCTTTGTAAATCCTATTCAAGTATATCATCTGTATTGTAATCCTCTGAGAAAACCTGTGTTCAGATAATGGATACAGCCTTTCTAAATTGCCCAGTGAGAATTTCCTTATTAATTTCTCTCACTTGGTAACCATAAAGTGTGCATATTCTCCAAAAAAGTGTTCTAGTTTTGCCACCTACAATGGTCGATGGAGAGACAAGCAATAAATAACCCCTTACTCAGCACTGTTCAGGGTTGGTAGCAGGTGACTTCTTTTTTACTGTTTTTGGGTTTGTTAGTTTGCTCTCACTGTGCAGTATAACTAGATTGAATCTTAGACTTGCGCATTACTAAAGTCCCTACATTTATAATTCAGTAATCAGTCACACATACACACGAGTCTTAAGGCTTTAAAGCAAACTGTTTTATTTATTGTTTTTGTGTACTTCCTAAGATCTAGTGTAGGCTTTATTGCCTCACATTATTGAAGGTATAAGGTTTGCACAAGTTCTACAATTTAGCTAGTTAGGCTGCAAGAAAGACAAAACTGCAGTTTTCAGGTCACATGTGAATGTGTCAACACAAGATAAATTAATAATGGGTGTTGATATTATGACAGCTAAAAACTTTATCAGGGAGGGGATGTAGTGTGTGTTTCCAAAGATAAAATATAAATAATATTTGGTGTTCTGAAAAAAAACAGAAAAGATTAGTCAGTGGAAGGTGAATGTTTCCCTGTTAATAAATGTGGATTGTACTGTTACTTTCACTGTAGTTGCTGGAAATTTGTTTCCTAATACAGACTTTATTATGATTATCAATGCAATTCACTTCTTTAATTACAGTGATCAAGACTGGAGAGAGTGGTATGACTGTGTTCAGGCTTCTTGCAAAAAATAACATATGGATCTGGGTACAAGCAAATGCACGTCTTGTTTATAAGAATGGGCGACCAGATTACATCATTGCAACACAAAGACCTCTTACGTGAGTTCTTGTTTTTGAGATATTGGCTAGCATTGTCACCAGCATTTCATGTCATGTGGGATTTCTCCAGCTCTGCAAGCTAATAATAGAATGTTCTTGTTAGATGTTATTCCCAGACTAATAAGCCATGCCTAGCTCGTCAATGGTCATATCATTCAGCAAACACTAACCAAAACAGTGTGCAGGAGAAAAACTTTTGTGCAGCTAACAACTAGTCAGAAGGCATCCTTCATACATCTTACTACAGTAAAATGATATCCTAAAGTTTTGCACATTATTATTGCTCTTTGCTTTTTCTGAATTAGTCTGACCACACACATGGGCATATTTCATATTCAGAGTAACAGGTAGTGAGAGATCCACCAGTGCTTCTTCTTATCACAAAATTCGACATGGCCATTGCTTTTATCTAATGTGTAGTCAGTACGTATAAGGTGCAGTCATACCTATTCTCTTTTTTCAGTGATGAATAGGACACAGTTGCTGAATGATCACATTTTTAAACTTGATGATTGTACAGTAACCAATGCTTCAGACAGTTGCAGTCTGCAATTCACACACCTTTCAGTTAACCCTTATTATCCCCAGGCTATTCTTCAATTGGTAATATTTGTAAGTGTCAGGCTATGTGTGGTTAGATTTAAGTGTTACTGATGCAGGCCAGATATCTTCAGAAATCTGTACTGAATTCTTGGCAGTTGCTGCCTTTATATAACTTATGTACTTATATTTTAACTTTTTTTTTTAATTTAAAGGAGTTAATCCTTCACTTGTATGATCAGAGTGAATATCTAGTCAGATATCGTATTAAGTGCCCCTGGTCCCCTGAATCCCAAGGTGCTCTTGCATGCAGTTTGTGACCTGGTTTCTTGGTTAAAATCCTCGCCTTGCCATCTGCTTATTGCTACAACAATTTGCCGGAGGGTGGGAGATAGTTAAATGCTATCTGCCACAGCACTCAATGATTTGGGGACGATCTCTGTAAGATCCTAACTGGGCATGCAGGCACCTAGAGGTGCATATTACAAATATTAGAAGTGAGGACTTTATACCTCTGCTCTATATTGGAGTACAGTTTGTTAGTGCTTTTCCATAATCTTTTAAAGCGGTATAAAACGCAAAACTAAGAATGTAATATATTGCAGCTTACAAATCATTAGATGTGGTGGCTACATTAGTTTCTCTTTTGTTAGGTTTTTCCCCTCTGTTTACACCTGGTGATCTGGCCAGTAATACACCTCCTGTATTTAGAGTGCCCCTGCTCTGGATGAATGGGCCAAGAGGGCACATTTGGATAGTAGCATTGTCAGTCTGGGGGGGAGGGGAGTGTGTTGGATGTACTAGCAGATTTAAAAACTCTAACAAATTGAAGCCAGATTTCAGTTAATTTATAAGCAGTTACAGCAAACCAAAGGTTTTACATGACTAAACAAAAGTTAAACATTGTAAGCACCTCTGCCATTGTTTAAATGACTTACTAGCTGGATCACCAGATAAAAATAGAAAAAACAGCCTAAAATTGGTAAGGTTAAGAAATGTTTGCTGTTGGGTTTAATACTGCTTTAATTATTACATTTGTTATTAAGAGCTGAGAATCCCATATTTGTAGAAAATAATTTGGATAGCTCTAGAAAAGCCTCTAACATTTAAAGTAAAATTGACAAACTTATGAAATTTATTGTGTAAATTCCTTTTATCTTCTCCCTTGTCTATGCCAAGTCAGATTGGAACCTGCAGCCTGCATTTTATTCTCTAGAGATGTTGGACATTTCAGCATAGACCTCATTGGGGTCAACTCCTACTGGATATGTGAACAGGACTGGTTGTCCTTGTATACGCAGTGAGCGTACTGTTAAACACTACACTCATTTCCCCAAATCTGTGCACGGTAACATTGACTTTTACAGTGTAAGATTCCCATCAGTAGCCAGAGCAGTAACCTTTGGCAAACTTCTGCATGTCCACATGTCAGCAGGTTGGAAACCGTATAAACTATGGCAGCATTTTGTAACTGTAAACATTACTTTCACAACTCTTGAAGGAAGAGACCACTGCAGTAACCAGTTTAAACTTCTACAAAGCAAAGTTTGTATAGTTATCTTGTTTTCTGCTCTTTTCAAGTCAGTCTGCATTTATAGAAGCACCCAGGATACATTGTATACCATTCTGCAACAGTCACCCATATAGAACATGTTTTCATATGTATGTCAACGTTGAAAAGTAGTATATATCCAGGTCTGAGAGTGTTCCATACACAACTTATAACCAAAGATTTGCTAAAAGCACATTTTTTTTAAATTCATTTTACATCCTCAGCATGCTTTTTGTTTGTTTTTGTTTTCAGAGAGGAAGAGGGAGCAGAGCACTTAAGAAAGCGAAGCACACAGCTGCCTTTCATTTTTGCGACTGGCGAGGCAGTGTTGTATGAGACCTCATTTCCTTTTCCAGGCCTAATGGGCCCCTCGCAAAATAAACCTAAAAGTTCTTCAAGTAAAGGCTCCTCTGCCAAAGCAACAGCAAATGAGGCACCCGTCAATCCTGCCTCCCTCCTGGGTGCCATGCTGAGACAACAAGATGAGCCTCTGTACATTTGTCCTGCGGCTCCAAACACCTTCTCTTTTGAGAACGTTTTCAAAGATACCAGGAATGAACTGAGCAACAGCTTTCCCAGTGGTTGCCAGGATAGTCGGCTACCTCTGGCAAACAACAATATAAAGCAAGGGGAAGCAGCCTTTTCCCAGGGAAAGAGTACAATGATGTTGTCAGACCGTGCAGAGGTCACCTCTGAGGGCAAAAACAACGAGCTTTACAACATTATGAGAAGCCTGGGGATTGATTTTGAGGACCTTGAGATGATACAGCAAGATGAAGAGTTTTTCAGAAATGAATTTGATTATTCAGATATTGGTGAAATTGATGTGGCAGATGAAATTTTAAATTATGTTCAGGATTCTCTAAAACGAGAAACCAGATTGCATGTTTATGAACCCTGTTCAGCAAATACCTTGCATGCAAGACTCCAGCAATGTAGTACAAAGCAGCTTAAACACAGCACAAATGCGCCCACAACAGCCTAACCAAATGATCCCACAGCAGCTGTGTCAAAAAATGAAACACATGCAAGTCAATGGTGTTCTAACGAACTGGAATTCTGTAAGTGGTGTCCCTTTAACGTATCAGGATCAGCCAGCTGAGCAATATGTTCCTAGCCTCAACCGTGTAGCCCCAGACTATTATAAATCTGAACTCACCAGTACTCCATATGCTTGCAAACAGGAATATATGCCTTATCAGGAGACAATACCCTCAGTGCCACTGCCATCGAGCGTTACACAGATGGACTTTGATCTTGGAAATGTAGAACAGCCAGTGTATTCTGCACCTGCAAACATGGATGGTCTTATGGGATGTTTATCACAGACTCCTGAAATGCAAGACTGTGGTGTAAATGCACGGACAGTACTAATGAATGCCCAGCCTTGTTACTCCGGTGCTGTATCCATGTATCAGTGCCTCCAGGAACCCCAGCCATCTTGTATGAATCAGATGCAATATAATACCGTCATGCCAGCACAGCAGCAGTTAATAAATAAAGTAAGCATACATGTCTAAATATATAAAAACATAGTACTTCTTTCTTACAAATTTATTGGCAAAGTAATTCATTAGGGGACAGCTATGCATAAACATAGACCAATATCTTGTATTGAAATAATCATGTATTTGTATAGATAAGTGGGTTTTCTTTTGGCTTTTAATTGACATATCTGCACAAATTCATTAATCCAGTAGGGTCATTGTAGTGTGTAAATTATACCCTCCTTTGTGTCCTCAGCTGTGCAGTTTGTAAAATACCCTATGAATCCTATTTGGGTCCATGCAGTCTGCATTTCATATTAACCCTACAGTACAGGACTCGGCAGAATATTCATACACCATGGGTTATAGCTGTGTACCTTCATGTGATTGGACAGTAGCAAAGCTTTAGAGGACACTCCCCTTGGATGCCTCCTCTATAACCCTACCCCACAAAATGAGTTTTGTGCTAGTGTCTCAAGGTGATAGACCTTTTCTCCTTCATGAAGAAAATCACCCTTCGCATAACTAGTTTATTATTTTTTGTTATTTTTATTCAGCCTGTAATGCACTGGAGCAAGAATTGGCTCTAACACCAGTGTTGGCATCTGGTTCTAGTTCTATTTCAGGCACACAATCAGCATCCTGTTTGACTAAGGCTAGGTTCGCATATATGCAGCTCTGTGAGCTACAGTTTGCACAGTCATGGCAGCAAGTACAGTGCAGCTCCCAGTGCGGGTGGCGTGCCATTAGGATTGCAGGAAGAGGTGCAGGTCCCACAGCAGTAACCACCCACACAGGTGTGAACCTAGCCTAAAGCACAATTCTCTGCATCTGTCACATTTATGCGGGCCTCTACACTGCTTTATTCTGTCAAATTAATCAAAGACTGTCCAAGGGCAGGGTACAAAATAGATCTCTAGAGGGATTTCCGAGTCTGTGATTCCTCCCTTGCAAAAAACGAGAAAAGCCTCTTCCATGTTTCACTTGGAAATCCTTTTTCTGTCTGGTGTTGAAAAGAAACACCTTAGTCCCAGAGATTACTCTGCACCTTGCATTTTGGCCTAAAGTACGCTTAAAGTTTAGACCTCTGCCATATCTATTCTTTTTCAAAGACCTTTAGCTTCACTTTCCCTGGTAAGAATTTTTTTCTTTAAGGCACATATCGTATTGTGCTTCACTTGCAGTACTCTGTGCTTCCTTGGGATCTCAACTTGGGTCTCCCTGCCCTGCAAAAACCACCCTTTAAAGTGTCCCTAAACCTACATCATAAAAAAACTATCAATAAATGCTGTATTACATGCTGTTCATATTCACTCAGTCACTACTGAGATTCTTTTTCTGTAATTCGCAAAAAACCTGGTTGATCCTGCTGCTCTCTATCTCCACCTTCTGTTCATGTGCCCAATTCAGCTAGGGACTTCACAGCTGTAGAGGCAACTCTGCACATGCTCAGTTTTCAGTGATTTTCTATGCTGAGCATTTCCTCCCTATAACATTTGAGCAGCCCATGTGACTATAGAGTCACACATGTGGGCATATACAGAGTGGTAAATGAGCCCACTACCTCCCCCTCCATGCCCACTAACCCAATGGGGGCAGGATATTACATGTAGATTAATGGTTGCTTCATCTCCCTCTTATTCTAAGACACAGGCTTGAGGGGCGTGACAGCCTGTGACTGGCAGAAAACCACCCACACCATAGTATTTCCACATAATAATAAAAATTAAATTAGAAATATATATTTTTATGACGATTTAGTTTATTTTTACTCTGCTTGGTCATGTGACCGCTGTATATCGATTTGGAAAAAGGTACTTACATTTTTTTTTTTCAATTAAAATAATTACTGTGCCATCATCCACATACAGAAAGAGAAGTGATAATTTAAATTTAAACAGTGTATGTTTAGTATCACTTTAACCTATCGGGGATATCCCCCTAATGGTTCTCTCTTGTGTAAAGTAGCCTTTTTGATCACTATCACATTTGTCAGATGCGTTTCTGAACTGGCTGCCCTGTCATGTAAAGATCTTTTCCTCATACTTCACAATGACAACATTGTCTTACACCCAAGACCATCCATTCCCTGAAGGAGGTCTCAGCATTCCAGCTCAATGAGGACATTGTCCTTCCACCCTTATGCCCTTCTCCTAATCATCCAAAGGAAAGCTCTCTACGTTGCCTGGACATGGTTATAACCATTAAGATATACCTGAAGGCTACTGCTCCAATCTGACAGATTTCTCGTGTGTCCTGTTCTCTGGATCTCACAAGGGACACCCTGCTTTAAAGTCCGTCATTGCATGTTTGGTACGAAATCTAAATGCAAGAGCCTACATTCCCAAAGAAAAATCTCCTCCAGCTCGTTTACACTCCCATTCCAGTAGACAGGGAGAGTTTCCTGGGCATTTCAGCACCAAGTATCTGTTGTGTAAGTCCGCCACCTGTTCTTCTGTTTGTACTTTTTCAAAGTTTTACCAGATGGATGTCCCATTTTTCTGCTGATGCAGCTTTTGGCTGCAAAGTTTTCTCAGCGGCTCTCTGAGGTTCGGTCTTCTGACCCTTGTTGGGCCTGTTGGCACAGTTCTCTTTGCCGTATTTTTGCCCACCCTTCCTTTTCATGGAACATCCCATGAAAATTCAGCCTGTGTCTTGTACTGTACAATTAAGAAAAGAGGAATTTTGACTTATCTATAAGTTACAAATCTTGACGTACAGGATACAGGCCACCCTCCCTTCTATTCCTTGGTTTACTCTTCATTGCTTACTATAAAACTCAGGACTTTCGGACTAGGGTAGGCCTATAGGGAAGGCACCCAGGGGGTGTGTCCTCCAAATGTTTGCCAGTGTCCAATCACCTGAATATACGTGCCTATAACCCATGGCATACAAATATTCTGTCTTTGCCTTGTATTGTATTCCAAGATATGGAATTTACAGGCAGGTCAAAATTCATATTTTTCACAGTACACCATGTAACCTGGAACATGCTCAGAATCCCAACAGTCATCCCACCCTTACTGAATCCACAAGCTCCCCTTCTTTTTTTTTTTTTTTTTTTTTTTTATTTGTTGTAACAGCTGTGCGTGGCTCTGCTCACACAGCCACGTCATCCATTCACAAAGATCTGTGAATGGATGATGGGGGAAAAAAATAATAAATGCGCTTTTTTAAAAAAAACCTCAGATGTGGATGTTTGTACTCATTTTTTGCAAAAGGTGGAATATGACTTTTATCAGCTCATAACGTTCTGTCCCTCAATCCGAGGCAGTTGAACCTTACTTAAACTATCCAAATTTTGTATCCATCCAGAAAGGCTTAGGCCCTCACACTACATAATCGTTGGTGGATTTATTGTAGATTGTGCTGTCAATGTGCAGTCAGTGTAAGGTTTGGTTCACACATCCAGTTACAGCTGTCAATGGATTCTTGTGGCTGAAAAGAAAAAGCACCCCCTCCCACAGGGCCCCCCAATCCTTACCTGAGCCCCCTCTGATCCAGCAATGTTCTCGACAGCCTCTGTTGTCTGGGGACTTTTCCTACTTATTGGATGTGACAGCAGAGCCCATTGGCTCCCGTTGCTGTCAATCACAGCCAGTGAGCCAATGTGGAGAGAGGGGGAGGCAGGGCTGAGCCACGCCTGTATGTGTCTTTTGGATGCATAGAGCAGCAGCTTGGGGACAAGCATGCAGCTGTGCCCCCAGGGCAAACGACTTTCCCTGGGGGCACTGCTTGAGAGGATTGGGGCTGCTCTATGCAAAACCACTGCACAGAGCAAGTAAGTATAGACATGCTTGTTAAAATGTAAAAAAAAAAAAAAGTAAGCTTTAGTGTCACTTTAACCTCAGCAACACACACTTATTTTACATGCTTCTTTTAATTGTTTGTTGTGTATTATGCATAATGTTTTTTTTTTTTTTTTTTTTTTTTTTTCCATTTTAGCAGTTCCAAAATGGTTTTGTTGGAGGAAACCTGAATGAAACCTATACAGCACCAATTGAAATGGTAAACAGCACCCAAACAGCTCCACATTTACCATCACATCTTCCTGCAAGCTCCAAGCTTTTTCCAGACATGCCGTCAAGTGGATTAATGTGAGGAGAACCACCTATGTGCGCACTGTGAAACTCACCACACAAAATACGATCTGACTATATGACCTCCTTTAGATCTACCAACAGCTATGTAGTTCAAGAGTCTGCCTGATTGGATACATATTGTTTGGATAGTTTAGGTAGGTCCTCATATTACATAGTTTTGGTATATCTAAAGTTAATTGTACAAAATTTGTATGGTCAGATTGTAACATGTATAGTGAGTATAAGATGCGCCCCTGTTGGCCTCAATAAAAGAAGACTTAATGCTGAACATGCTTTAAAAGCCACATTACATCATAAATAGTTTATTTGGGCTATTTGCACTTTGTAGGCCGCAAGTGGCTTACACATTGGACAGGGCTGGCCAGGCCATACATGGAAGTAGAGCATATTATGGA